CACTGGCGCACTGCGCTCTCAATGATCGGTATGCCATCTATGGAGAGAGCATGTAACGTGTTCCCAAATGCGAACTTATCCTTTATCCCTTTCGCTGCAAGAGCCCTTTCTGCGTTTTTTATTGCACTTTAGGCCTGAAGATTACATAAAACCCAGAGAACAATATATATTTTTCTGAAAGCAGACACCCTGGAGAATAAAATAGTGGTAGTTCAAATATTTTATGTCACACGATATTACTGCAAATGTCTAGGAAACACAAAACTTCAGTAAAAACACACAAGTTAATTTTGAGGCACAACAAGGCAAATTACCCAATTTTTTAGTAAAATATAAACGATGAGGTTACACCAAGTAAGTAGATACCCAAACATGTCAAAACTTAAATTTGCATGCACTTCTAAAATGGCGACAAACTTTACTACCCTATATTTTCTTTAGGCGACACTTTTAAAGCCCCCTCCAGGTCATCAGTTTTGCGTTATGGAGTAAGTCTGGTGCTAGAATTATTGCTCTAATTATGGTGTGCGCAGCGATATGTAATATGATGAATCACAACTGACATTTTCACGCATAGGCGCCCTGATGTGTGTGTTTGTGCGTATATGTGGGGGCCTCAAAAAATTTTTAGGGGGGCAGGGGTTATGTTTTTTTTTTTTTTGGGTGTAACTTTTTTTTTAATTTTTTACAATTAAAAAAAAAAATTTTTACTTAACTTTTTTTTTCATCACATAGGGGACAAAAAGTCCCCTATGTGATGATTTTTTGGTGACTGGTTGTCTTTGAGATACCCATTGTCTAAAAGACCCTGCATGTCTCCCTTGTGCTCCATTGCATGCAATGCAGTGCACATCACACTGCATTACATTCTTTTTTCAGCTTTGATGGCCGGGGACCCGGAAGTGACGTCATACACATCACTCCCCCCCTCTACCAGCCGGCACCCCGCTACACTGGTCCCGGGTCCGCAGATGGAGAAACAGAGCCCAGGGTACAGAGCGGGGGGCAGGTGCGTGCACGGGGGGTGAGCTAGTGTCTTTCTCTGCTTATTAATTGTTTTGTACCTTACGTCTTCTTGCATAAGTGTTCATTTGGCAGAGTGTGCAGGAGCCGAGCAATCACAAAACAGCTTTTGTGGAGCTGAGCTTATAGTATAGTATTGAAAACAGGAAAAATGTGTCCTTGGAAGTCTGTAAAGCTCACAATACACTATACAATAACATCAACTACTAGGTAGTGCAAGGGCATGTCTGATTAGATAGGTGTGTCCTCCTGTTATATAGTTTTGGTAAATCTAAAGGAGATCATACAGAGATTGTACTATCATATTGTATAGTGTATAGCCACCTTTATGCACCTAAAATGAATTTGTCGTGCTTTTGGTGCAATTAATTGTTAATAGCACCCTAAATGCTGAAGCAAACATTCATTTTGCTATGTGAAAGTGTGCGACAAATGCACTAAAATGTGCAGTAAAAAACTTGCAAACCGCAACGTACCAGACTGTCCCATGAGCTACTTGGCCACATGTAGGGCAGCATATTGAAATCAATGGTCTGCCCTAAATGTGTTGCAGGAAAATACGCTAAAAAACATTCGCTTTAAAATGTTAGGTGAGAATTGGGCCTGAAAGTGAAATTGGTGTGTTTACACAGAACAATGACAACTGGGTGTCTCCATCCACTCCCTCCCATATACTTCCATAAAGCTGGCAATACATTATAAATTTTTATTTTATAATTTCTGTACAATTTCCTTTAGATTTACCAAAACTATGTAACAGGAGGACTCACCTGAGCAATCTGTTAAATTTGTATCTAATCAGGCAGGCTCTTGCTCTACATAGTTGATGGGAGATCTAAAGGAGATTGTACAGTGTATGGCCACCTTAAAGTGGGTGTAAATAAAAAAAGAGGTGTTTGTAGCAAGGGGAAGTGTGGTGCAGAGAGGTAAACACACCCTAATTTGTGATGCAGTAAGGCAGTGCATGATGGGATATGAAGTTTCCTGGAAGGTCACATGAAGCTACAGGAAGTCAAGTCTCAAAATGTATTTTTAAAATTTTGAACAGAGAGGTGCAGATTCAAAGCTGCCATGAACTAGGCAAGTGAGAGATTAGTACAATGTGATGACTGGGGCAGAAAAGACATTAGAAAAGGCTTCTATTTATTCTGAAAAGTGAGCTTAGCCTTTAGCTGGCATGCTATAACCAGCTATGCCCAGTATTATCTTGGAAGTCTATCCAAACCTATGTTTAATAAATAGCACTCCAAGTTTTCCTAGCATTATAAATATTGATTTTCAGGTAATATTAATTTAAAATCTCTTATTGTCTTTAATAAATGTTCAATATTGCAAGTGTATTGTAGAGGAAAAGTTGCTTATTTAGCTATGCAGTCCTGAAAATCAAGCAGAATTCAAGTGCCAACAATTCCAACAGAGAATGCTTTGTAAACTGCAACTGTCACAGCAAACCAGGGACACTTGGCAAACATTCAGGATAGCTTGAGCAGTTGAGCTACTGCTATTTTCTCTTTTTTCTGTATTTGGTGCTTACGCAAGGGAGATCTTTATTAAATCCTTTAGCAGATAACACATGACCTGTATGTATTTCAGATCAGCCCAAGCAGCTAATCAGATTACAAAAATGCAATTGAAAATAAAGAATGAAAGGTTAAAACTGTTGGTGGCAAAGTTCATTTAGAACACGCTGATAGCTATGTCATAGTCTGGCAACCATTTGAATAGTAGATGGCAACCTCTTAAAGTTTAGGATTTTTATTTTTTTTTTTTATAAAGGCTTAACATTATACAAGTATACAGCAGCAAATTTAAATGCATGGAATTTGTGATGGAATTATTAACAACCAGCATTCAGAATTTTCAGTGTCAGTGGCATGCCTTTCAATACCTTTGCAGTTAGACTGGGCCAAATAGGCAACAAATATTCTCCTTTGGGACTTTAATGCAGCTACACAATGTCTATAATAAAATAATACTTTTATTGTACAAAGCGTAAAAACATGTACATGTAGATTATATTGGTTAAAATAAGGAACATCACAATACAATAAGAGAACCCCTGAATATTGTGGTAGAGGAACACTATACACTTCATGCTGCCTATGATTCCCCAACATGTTTCAATTGAATTTTACAATCTTCATCAGGGGGTAACAGGGGTAGTTTGGTGGGCGCCCCATGGTGAAAAGGAGGAACATCACTTTCAAGAAATGTAATTTAGTTATCTGTAAGTGTGGTGATACTGTGTATTATATACTTTATACTGTGTTGCTGTTTGGAGACAATTCTCTGTACATGTTTTTCACTTTATCTATATTGTCTTGTAGAAAAACTACCCCTGTTACCCTCTGATAAAGATTGTAAAATTCAGTTGAAACACATTGGGAAATCACAGGCAGCATAAAGGGTATAGTTCTCCTCTGCCACAACTTTCAGGAGTTTCTTATTGTATTGTGATGCTCCTTATTTTAACCAATATAGTGTACATGCAGGGGCGGACTGACCATTTGGAAACTCGGGCACTGCCCGAGGGCCCGGGGTCAGTAGGGGGCCCCATTAGATGCCCCTGGTACCTTTTTCATAGGCTTTTTTGCGTTTGGGCAAGGACACAGGGGCCCCATGATCCCCTATTGCCCGGGGGCCCCATGAGTTGTCAGTCCGCCCCTGGGTACATGTACACATTTTTTATGCTTGGTGCAATAAAAGTTTGATTTTATGAAAGATATTGTGTAGCTGCATAAAAGTCCCAGGGGAGAATATTATTTGCCTATGTATGTTTAGGGACATAGCAGCCCATTGACCCTAGAAAGGCTTATTTGTACTCTGGGCCAAATATGCTCTCACTGGTTCCCAGAAATGGTAAAGGCAGCACTGCTATATGTTCTAACACACTTTTATAAATGTTTGAGCTCAAGAGAACATTATTTTTTTGTTATCCACAGTAGGCCTGTGCTTTGTATATGCAGGGCAAAGCTACACCTTTGTTTCAATCTCCCCTCCCCAGTACCATCTACTCACTTTTCCTTTACTCCCCCACCGCTCAGTTTTGCTGCAAGGAACAAAGAAAATACCAGGTACTTTAAGGTATGAAGAGGCATATGATAGAGCCAGGCCATAGAAGTTCATATTACCATGTAAACTACGCATGAGCGATTGTGTAGCTTACACAGGGCATCTGCATGAAGTGGAGGGGTAGGTAAAGATGAGTATGATGCCTGCTCCTAGGCTCCAGGCAGGTGTGCACTTTTTGACATACTGCTAAAGCCACATACAGTGGGTAAAATAAGTATTGTACATGTCACCTTTTTTATCAGTAAATATATTTCTAAAGGTGCTACTGACATGAAATTTTAACCACATGCCGGTAGCAACCCATGCAATCCATACTTACAAAGAAACCAAAACAAATAAGTTTAGAATTTAAGTTATGTGCAATAAAATGGAATATTTTTTTTACCCACTGTATGTCATTAGTCTTCTAGACTAAGGCTTAAAATTTTGAGTCCAGACCTACTAGCCAGGCACAAACCTTACTTTCCACCAGTTGCCCCACCCAACCTTGCCCAGGTCTGCCTCCAACCCCAACCCCGGCCCATCCCCCAACCCCGCCCCATCCCTGCCCCCAACCACACCCCATTAAAGCTTATGAAATTACATTTTTCTTTAGAATAAAGAGTCCAAAATATAAAAAACTGTAATTATAACATAGCTTTATTATGTCAATTTAAACATAACAGCAATAGCTTAATAGCAATAGGGTGCAATCAAAAGATCAAATTTTACAGCTTTAAACCTGTGGTGAACATTTTGTATTTTTTTTTGTTTATCTCCTGCATCTTTAACCACCTTCCGCCCGCCATATAGTACAATGACGGGCGCAAGGTGGTTCTCTCGTTCTGATAGGACGTCATATGACGTCCTTCCATTCTCACCGCGAATGCGCGGCTCAGGGAGCGCGCAGCGCGGCGATCGCTGGTGTGCTGTGTCCCTCGGACACAGCGGATCACGGAAAGAACCGAAGATGTAGGCTCGGTCATGTGATCGGCTGTGTCCAATCACAGCTGATCACATGTAAACACGGAAATGTCAGTTATCAGCGTGACAGCTCGAGAGGAGAGCCGGTAATTGGCTTTCCGCGGAGGGGACATGTACACTGATCATCAGGGCACTGATGATCAGTGTGCCCTGGTGATCAATGTGGCCCCAGAAGTGCCACCTGTCAGTGTCCATCAGTGCCAGCAGTCAGTGCTCATCAGTGCCACGTATCAGTGCCACATCAATGCCACATATCAGTGCCTACCAGTGCACATCAATGCCACATATCAGTGCCCATCTGAGCTGCCTTTCAATGTCACCCGTCAGTGCCACCTATCAATGCCAATCAGTGCCACCTATCAGTGCTGCCATTCAGTGCCACCTATCAGTGCCAGTCAGTGTCGCCTATCAGTGCGCAATAGTGCCGCCTGTCAGTGCCAGTCAGTGCTGCCTATCAGTGCCATATATCAGTGTCATGTATCAGTGCTGCCTTTCAGTGCCCATCAGTGATGATGCCTTTCAATGCCCATCAGTGCAACCTACCAGTGCCTCCTAATCAGTGCTCATCAGTGCCATCTATCAGTGTCCATCAGTGCAGCCTATCAGTGCCCATCACTGCAGCCTCATTAGCGCACATCAGTGAAGGAGAATAATCACTTATTTACAAAATTGTATAACAAAAACTAAGAAAAAACTTTTTTTTTTTCAAAATTTTCAGTGGTTTTTGGTTTGTTTAGGAAAATATAAAAATCCCAGAGGTGATTAAATATACCAAAAGAAAGCTCTATCTGTCTCAAAAAAATGATAAAAATGTCATATGGGTACAGTGTTGCATGACCGCGCAATTGTCATTCAAAGTGTGACAGCGCTGAAAGCTGGAAATTGGCCTGGGCAGGAAGGGCGTATAAGTGCCCTGTAGGCGAGGGGTTAAAAAGAGACTTTAGTAACTAAAGTCTGTTTTAAAAGATGTAAGTTTAGTTTACAGAAGTATAGCACAGGAAAAAGTGCTTATTTTGATGCCAAAAAACAGAATAATAGTTACTGTAAACATTTTGTATTTTGTATCTCCAGCAGAGACCTTAAAGAAGTGTGGCATTAAGAAAAAAGAAAAAAGTGCCTCTTTTGATGGCCAAAGATAAATAACAATAGTAAACATTTTGCATTTTTTATCTCCAGCATCTTATTAAAAGAGAGCTTAGAGAAGTAGGGCATTAAGAAAAAAAACAAAAAGTGCTTATTTAGATGCCAAAAAACATGGCATAACAATAGTAAACATTTTAATAAAGATGTGCCAATAGAGCAGCCATGGTTTGTGTTGTTACAGTAGGACCAACACTTGTGTAATACCCTCTGCTCGTGTCCCCTGCGGTGGGGGAGAGCGGACCTCTCCTCGACTCCCCCGTGGTGGTGGAGAGGGTGTCTCCTATCAGCGGAGGAGAGCGGACCTCTCCTGCACCTGTCCCCTCAGTGGTGTGGCCAGTATAATGGTGGTGCTGAAGAAACCGGAAGTTGGAAACCGGAACTCGGCTTCACAATGAGGCTTGGAGCGTAGGTGCAGCCGCTCCATCCATCATCTATGCTCGCCGCCGCTTGCCACACAGGAATTTCTCCTCGCATTTGGCGAGCGGCTTTTTCAAGCCCTGTTGTAGACGTATGCTTCAGGTTCCCCTGCCATGGAATATTTTAGTGAGAGGCAAAATTGTGAAGTCCCCCTTGGTTTTTCAGTTCTCTTCTATGGCGTTGGCTCTAAGTAGTAATGAAGCAGGAAAATCCCAAAATTTCATTTTATTATTAATTCTCTTGAAGTAAACATGAAGATTGGTCCAGTCTGCTCTCCACAGATCAGACAGGGCTATGCGCAAATATTCAGGTGAATAAAAATGAATAAATAAGTAATTCTGACTTGATCATGACTACAGTAAGCATGTAAAAAGCCACCTTTCCTGCAGAAAATGTAAACCTTTATTATAACTGTCACCAAAACTGTGAGGGCTCGTTCACATCATGGTGCAGAGACATCAGTTTTTCTGCATGAGTTCTGGAAGGGCACAACATAATCAATTGTTCTCTATGTGCCCTGTTCACACCTCAACACTGTTATCGCGTGCAGATTTTGTCTGTGCAGGAATCTCCAAATGTATAAAACTCATGGAAGCGCACATGAAATCTGATGTAAACTGATATCTCTGCAAGTAAAATCTGCGTGTCAGCTTCCATCAGTATTTCTGCACATATGGGGTGAACAAGATTTCCTATCAGAGCAATAGAATACCTTTCAAAAGTACGCTGGCAATCCGTGTCCTATTATTTATTCAGTACTGCTGTGATCAAATACCTGTTCTGCATTATTCCCAAATACAGTACTTTAGTTTCAGTAAATTTTTATTGAAAATTACCAGCATGGGTACATTGTATTTTCAGTATACAATAGTAATATAGATCAGTGTTCTTAAGTGGTCTTAACATACAACATAACTTTCTTTTTTCAATGTAATCAAATAAATCTGCAGTTTATTGGAAGAGACATTTTTTTTAATTTATATTTTAGGTGAGAATGCATTTAACAATGTTAGGGGCCACAACATTTGGCTGAAGAACGAATTGAAAATCACAATATACAGTTCTTAAAAATGGTTTAAAAGGTAAACTAGTAGAACACGGTCTAGAAAGGAGTCACAGTAAGTACCAGGATGGACAGCAGTCAGTTAACAATTGATAGGTGGAGATGGAAAGGTGAGAGGCTTTAATTACCAGGTTTTAACAGATATTTCCAATTAAGTGGAGAATACAGAATCAATTGGAGGGTCATTAATTAGCAATTAATTAGCAAACCTCTGGGTATATTGGAAACCCTTCATTAAAGACTGTTGTGTACCAGCTGGGTTTGCACAAAGTATTCCCAAATGTAAAAAAAAAAATTTGACCCGTGATTCTTTGCTTAAGGAGGCCACCTTCAAGTCTGTGCAAAAAACATAAGATAGTTTAACTATAAACAAAGCAATAGTGGGGGGTTCTGGATAGATCCATTTATTGGAAGAGACGCTTTTACAGAACACCTGTAGCTAGCGTACAGTCATCAGTATACATCTATGTATTGTATTCAATCACTCTACTTTTACTGGCATACATTGAAAAATAAAGTCTCACTTGACATCTGAATGACATGATTGTTAATTTTGTTGTTTAGTTCTTGAGAGCGTTGTATTAGACCCAAGAATAGCAGCGTGGCTTTTAAACCCAGCTGACAGTAATCCAACATTTGATGATTTAGTGAAAAAGTATTGTGACAAGATAAACACAAGAAACACCGAGAGCCCTTCAGATACCCAAGTTTGTATATTCAGCATTTTACCTGAAATTAATTATATTATATTTTTAGGCCAGTAAGGCTGTGCACATTTAGTTCTGTAAAAAGGCAAGTGGTCTTCCATGTTTTTAACATGCATTAACATACATCTCTTCTGTGCTCATCCTCTCTGTATGCAAAGATTGCTAGCGATGGCTAGATTTGGGTATCTTCAAGCCTGCACTGGAACACAGCAGTTGGAGAATAAGGCCTCATTCACACCATACATGCAGAAAAACTAGTAGAAAAACATGCTGATTTCACTTGCAGAGACACAAGTTTACATCAGTTTTCATGCGTGTGCCCATGCAGAACGCATACAGAAAAACTCGCATGTTCTGAATGAGGCTTAAATATTTGAATCCCCACTGTCTAAACAGGCCATCCAAAGAAAAATTTTGGCCTCAAGGGCCACGTCATACAAACAATCTCATCACTGGCAACAAATTGCCGGTAATGGGATCACTAAAGAGAACACCTTGCCAGTTCACTGAGCTGCACATTTGAAATGTGTCCAAAGAGATGTCTAAAGGCTGACCTTCACACTTTCCTAGAAATTCATAATCTAGTGAAAATTGTGTGACTGCGATAAATTTAGAGGGATTGCACCCAATCTGCTTGGGCATGTAAGGGAATACACATCACCGGCATCCTTGCTACTTGGAAAAGTTGGTACAGCCTTCACAGAAAGAGAGGTCTAAAGGCTGACCTTCATACTTTCCCAAGAATTACATTAGACAAATGCAGCTCGATTTATCTTGTTCAGTCCCCGGGCTGAACACTTGAAAATCAGATGGTTCCCTCATCCATGGTAAAGAACGTGAATGGAGGAAATTCCACTGCCAGCTAGTGTATTCAGCACCCATGGGATGCAGTCATTGTTCAGCCAATTTTTTTCCACCTAGCTTAGTCAATTTTTAAATAATCTTTTGTCGAGTCAAGTGGTGCTTGCAGGACTCGAATTGTGACTGATTAAACAGGAATCAACCAAAATTCAAGTGGTTTATGGCCAGCCTACGTCTTGCCAAGTTCACATAGATTTCTGTTGTTCAGTCTGCAAGCCGAATGAGAAAAACATTAATTGATTCCCTCATCATTTGCTAAACAGCCTAGATGGAGAAATTTGTCCTGCCAGCTATTGTATTCAAACAACTACAGCATCCATGGCTGCTTGAATACCAGAACAGTGATTGTATTCTATCAGTTTGGCTGATAATTTTATACCCACTTGACTCGATTTTTAAATTGACTTTTTTTGAGCCAGGTGGTGCTGATAGGGTGACCCACAATTTGAATTTTGTGCAGTTCAGCAGAAATCACCAAAATTTGAGCCGTGTATGACCAGCTTCAGACATATTACCACCGGTAGATCATTTACCACTTATCAAATAATTATCAGAAATAATTGTATTCCTCATAGCGCTGTTGTATCCTGATGAATCATATTTAGTGACCTTCATTGTGTTGTCCTGTCTAACAGATATTAATTCTTCACCATACTTGTCTTAATACAAACATTTTCCATTAGTCTATGCTGTATACCTGGTATATAATTAAAAAATAGAACCATCGACAGATGCAAAGGCAAACATCACTGTTATTTATTACACTTTGAACAAATGTTCCTTATTTCTAGTGAAATTGGCATAGTTAGAAGACATGTACATGGGGAGAGGTCAAGTTAACTCAAACAAAATAAATTGCAGACCCAGACAGAAAGAGGGGACCGTGACATTCATAGAACAGATGTTACATTGACACCTGGGGTCTCAAGTACATAGAAACAAATTAACTTTTCCACAAGGGAACGGCAAACAATTCCTACAAAAATTTTGAAATGCTATTGCTAAGACATTTTTGTCTTGTGTTTTACAGCAACAATCTATGTGTAAGAAATTGAATTTACTTTATTATCTGATGGAGACTCTGCAGTATAAACTCCAGGTGAGGATGTACAATGCATACCTTGAGATTTTTAGCTTATGTCGTAGCAGAAAGAAATGTGATAAATGATGGAATAGTAAAGACTGTTAAAGCATATTTAATTTATTAC